TGCTATGTGCTACGACTTTCCTGTCCATGAAGCTGCTGGAAAGGCTCACTTACTTCAGTACTAAAATTACGATTCAGCCAATTCTGCCCAAAGCATAGCGGGATGAGTGAGTTCCGTTAGAGGTCAGTGATTGTTCCTCATGGAGTGTCAGTATCTCTGGATCTAAACCGGCAGGGCAGCGAGCTCGTGGCTCATTAGTTAGAACGTTAGACTTCTGAGGAAAAGGTTGCGAATTCGAGTCCCGAGTTATGCGCCACTTGGCGTTGGGTACGACTGGCTGATGACGACTTATGGTCCGGAAATGGTCATTCCAGTCTTGTCTTAACCGGCAAGTTCATCTACTCCAGCACTAAAGTTATGATTCCCAGTAGTGGTATTGATAAATGAGCACTTACTGTTCGCATCCGGTTATGTCTCGGAGTTCAATCTTACGTCCTGTCAACAGCCGCACAGTTCCTGTTGATGTAGGTAGACATGCATTTCTAACAAGGCAGACTGGAATAGCCATTTCTGGTCTATTAGCTGTCATCAACCAACTGTACCGAATCCCAGATGTTACGACGCCTGACGATCGGACTGGCGCCCTATCGGTTAGAAGTCCGACGGCCTAATTGTTGAGTCTCATTTGTTGTGACATCTGGGATTGGTTATGGCTGGCTGCTGATGATGTCGGCTAGTAGACAAGAAATGAGCATTCGAGTCTGCCTTGTCTTTGTAGGCAGTGTTATGCTGTCTAGCATCACTCGAGGTGCTAATTGTGTTTTCTTTGGTTCTGACGTGTAAATCCATGATGGATGCGAAGCCAACCCAGATCCCACCGGGATTTCTGTCAGTCTCACCTCGTTGACTACGGCAGCTTAACAGCCCGTACTTCTTGACTGCCTTTTGTTGACTTTTAATATAATCCCTCGTGGCCAATCGTGTTCTGGTTCTCTGCCAACAGTTACGCACGCTTTCGGTTCATGTGATTTCTGTGTACCATGCTAGGTAGATCGGACAGAAGTGTTTCATAAAATATCCATCTCGTTTACTATCAGACCTTATTCCTGTAGCCCTTTTTTGGTGTCGGATGGCATTATCTGCGATTGAACCATCTTCGGCCGTCTCCCGTGAAATTTTGTCTGACTTACGTTCCATATTTCTATTCCCGTTTTTGTTTTTATTCAGATGGACTGACCTTGAAACGCTGACGCGCTTGTATCGTTAAAGTGTTCGCCTGCAGACCGATGACGTTATCGAACATTTGTTGTTTCTTTGTTTAGGGTCAGGCGTTATATTTAGCCGACTCATTTTCTTTATTAACTACGTATATCCACTGTGGAGGCTTGCATATTGTTTATTTTTCAATATTCATTTAATATTACCTAGCTACACCAGTTTTTATCATTGGGAATTGAAGTACGCGTTGTTAATGAATTAATTGGTTCAAAGATGACGACAACGTTATAAAACCGTCGAAATTCGCTTAATTGGAGGTAGATGTTACCGAAGAATGAACCTAACTGTCGAGCAAACTGTTTCCCTGGCCTCATGTTATCACTAGTGCCTGAGTCATAATTGATAATATTTGAATCCATGCGATTAAAAAATAGCCGAGGAACTGTAGGGTGGTCACCTATCTGGTTAGGGAAAATGTTCGTCTCAATCCAGATCTATCTTAGGCAGTCGCATAGCGACTTGTACTACGTGACGGACTGGAACCAAAAATGACCAGGGAGACCACAGTAGTTGTTTCTGGCTTGTTAGTCGTCATCAGGCAGTCATAGCTAATCCCATATTGTGGATCACTCGAGATTCCAACTCCGACCCTTTGGTCATGGAGTGTAACACTCTACCATTGCACCACGGGTTCGTTGCTGTTGTCGGTTGCGTTTGAGAATATGATCAATGGTAGGGCGCTTACCGATCTGGGCTGGGAAAATGCTCCTCCCATTGTGCGTTGTAGCTAAAGCCAGAGCGCTCGGTGCCAGTCGCACGGCCAAAGGCCCGCGGGTTCGAATTTCGGATTGCCTTCACCTGGGATTGAGTATGACCGGCTAATTATGACATATAAGCCAGAAATAAGCATTCCAGTCTCTATTGTCTTTGTCGGTTCCCAAATATCTATAGATTCTGTCGCATTTTGACAAGGAAATGCATCTTAATAAATGCTTAGTCGTTTAATGTGACACCCCCGTATACAGCAGATCGTCACTGTTGACTGCCGATAGACCACTGCCACCTGTGTCTGTCCTTCCTGTGTTTTTATCCGAGTTCATGTCAGGTGAATACGCAAAGCCGATTACGCCGCCGGTAAGTAGATGCGACGGTTGATCGAG